ATCCAGTAGGAACATCCGTTCTGCACGCTGGGCTTGGGAATACCGAGCCCCTTCCTTAACGTTCGGGCACCCGGACAGGGTACCCTGAGCGGAGCCAAGCACAGGGCACTGCTCCCTGCCCATCTATGGGACACAGTTTCCCTTAACGAAGGCGCTGGTGGCCGCAGGGACAGTCCCAGGCAGCTCCAAGGTGGCAGCCGCACATCCCTGGTGAGGCTGGGGCTGGACAAAGGCAGCCTCCGGCTCCGGCTCCCCTTACCCGCTGTGGAATGGCAGGAATTCCGGCGCTCCCGAGGCTGGGGGAGTCACGGCACCAGCGAGGGGCTGCTTGTTTTTTTATCTAAAGCCCGTGCAAGGCTGTGGCTTAGTGCCTGTCAGCTGCAGGGGTATTAACCTTAGACCTGTCAGCAGAAATAAAATAAGAAATTACAAAAAACGAAAGCCGGTGTTGCAGCACTGGGAGGCTCTGAGAGCACTGCTGGCTGCGGCCAGGTTCGTACCAGCGTCCTGCCCTGAAGCTTTTCTCATTGATTTGTGTCCGTTGTCTTCACGGTAGGTGCAGAAGGCAGTGGACGAAGCTCCGGCCATGTGCACATTTGTTACAACCCTCCCGTCGACTTGGCCAGGACCAGGATTTAATCCATGAGGGAAAGCGCCCACCCTGGGACAAGGATCCGTGCGCTCCCGTGCCACATTTGCTGCCTTCTCCCTGCGGGCAGCTGCCGCAGCGTGGGCTCCGGCTGCGTCCCGGCCTTGGGAACGCTCGGGGCTGCCGTGAGAAAGGGCCCGCGCGGGAGCCGGGGCCTTGATCCGCCCGCTGCCAAGCGGTGCTGGATCCGCTGCCGCCTTCAAAGCCCCCGGAACGCTCGGAGGTGGTTGGGCGCTCGGGCCGGAGCGAGGCAGAGGATTAAAGGCGGAGCGCCGGCGAGCTCTGCGGGGACACAACCCAATTACCACCCCGTAATTAGTTACAGCTTTGCAGCTGGGCTGCACAAATGACTCCGTGGCTCTCCCAGCCTATTGCTGAAAAGGGGAATTTGCCGCTGCTGTTGCAAAGGGGAATATCCCAGGTAGGATTTAGAGGTGGCTGGAGCTCCTGTCTTGCTCTGGGCTTGCGGCAGGCCAAGAGGGCAGGCAATGGGCAGAGCCCGGAGCGCTGCTCTTCCCGCTGCTTCCCAGCACGCGGAGCCGTGTGCTGCCCTCACGTCCGCAGGACGAGGCCGTGGCAGAGCAATCTCCTTCCATCGCTGCTGACTTCCTTAGGCCGCTGGGGAGTTGTAAAAAATCATCTCATCAAAAAGCAATAAGGGAAAACTGCTTGGCTTGGGCAGAGCTGCAATTACATCATGCAGCCAGCGGCCCTGGGCTTGGGGGTGGACGCCGCTGAGAAACGAGCTGGGAAAACCGTCCTCCCAGACGTGCGGACAGCTCTTTCCTCCCTCTGGACGAGCCCCCGGAGCTCGTCCTGCGTGCGGAGGCTGCCAGGGCGGCGCGGCCCTGGGACAGGCCCTGCCCGGCCACCGGCGAAGGGAATTTCCTTGGCTTTGCAAGGAGGCCTCGGAGCTGGGAGCTGTGATCTCTGCATCAGAAGGAATTCACCTCCTCCCCGAGCGAGGCCCTGGGCATTAGCAATGATTTCCATGCACTTCTGCAGGCAGATGCAAGATCTTTAATTACTTTTGTTTTCCGTTTCCCTAAGGATTGGGTCAGTGCAGAGAACAGTTCCCTCAGCCGCAGTGGCCCGACCTCAGGCAGAGCCGGGCTGCAGACAGGGCTGTCTGCTCGCTCTGTAATCCCATTATTCCCTAGGACTATCCCAAAATACCCGGTGCCAGGCCTTGGAGAGGGAACCGGAGCAGCTCTCGGTGGTTCC